AGCAGGTGTTGTCACCTCGGAAGCCACCTCAACTGTGCGAACTGGCTTTAACTTTGGCTGTCTTATAATCTCAAACTTACGCAACTTATCGTCATGTCGTTTTGTTATGAAGTGAGAAATCCTACATGATTTCCTGTCGGTCATGCTCTAGCGTCTTTGAAAATCTCCCGGAGACAGGATCCTGGCTAGATCACGGCGGAGCTTTGACTTAACATCTATAAACTTAAATAACTTATTCTGTTCTGTATCAGAGGTCTCACTTAGTTTCTGAATAGAAGCCGAGTTGTAGGATCTCTTAAGGTCACGGAACTTACGAGTGATACCATAACGTTTACAACAAACAATGTATGAAAAGAACAAATAGATCCTATCCATAACTACCATGGCAAGGCTAAAACACTGATCATGTAGACGGGTAAGAGACGCGTGAAACTGCCAAAAAAAAACTCAGTATGTGTGGTTGTGCATGCATCAGAGAAAAATGACATCCCGCAGCTTGCAGGCAGTAACCTGTGGCTGAGAATAGACCGGCAGAGTGGAGGCACCGACTCGTGGGGCATCGTTACAGAGGCAGCAGGCGGATACAGGATTGGTCAAATGGCTGGGCGATTCCGAGGCTACACCGGGGAGCCTCGCCATAGTGATCTTCATGGCAAGTTGAGCATGATCTGCAAAGAGGAACCGGCGGCCTGACAGCGAGTGGTTGGAAGTCGGATGAGTTGCCACGGCTCCACGCCAGACGTCGGTCTCATGGGCTGCAAGAGGTTGGCTGAATTCGGAAGATCGCCTGCCATGATCCGGCAGCATGGAGTGCTTTTTGGCAGACAAAAACTCTGAATGGCACAAGTCGGGAGGACCGGCTGGTCTCGTCAAATCGGGGGTAGATGGACAAGACCAAAGGGGAAAATAGGGGACAGACGATTGCGCTACCGGATAGTCTGTGCATGGGTGTTGGGTCAGAGTCGCCGCGGAGTCTTGCTCCAGACACGGTTGGCCTCGCCTCAACTCAAACTCAGCTTCTTGGGCCGACCAAAGCGTGAGACCGGTATCATGCTCGGCTCGGAATTCTAGCTCAATACCGTGTCGCAGGAGAGACTCGATCTTAGAGCGCTCCATCTCAATCCGACGAGCAGCCAACATTCCAGTTAAGGTGGCCGGTTCGAGTCCACGTTGAGCGAGAGTTGGCGTTTGAGGCGTGGTGAGATCAAGAGGAGGCGATGCATCTTTCACAAGAGATAGTGCCCGGGCGATGTGCAGGGCGTCGAGACCGGAACTATCCAAAGCCTGGGAGACATGAGT